GGAGATTTATACTAAGTAGCTAGGAATATGCTTGTGTTCAAATAAATCCTAGATGTTGTTTAGGTTTGGCATGGAATCCACAGTATTCTAGGAAACAGTATTTCAGGGGGCAAAATAGTAAAAGGTTGAGTGGGAAAGAAAACGCTGTGGATGTGGATAAAGGTTTCCTCTCATAGAGTCAAATGCTTGGCTGCTGTCATCAGGGGCAAAGGATGTTCTGAAGAGTGAATCAACTCGGATTTACCCACACACTTCAAGAAAGTAATTTAGAAAACCGCAGAAATCCAAACATTCTTTCATTGGCTACTAAAATACCAAAAAAGAAATCAAGAGAAGTTTGTAGGACTTTTAGGAAGCTATTACTTGATAAGAATATTATTACAAATATATCAGAACATTTTTATCCTTGCTTGATGGGAATTCAACCCTTCATGCCATCCAGGAAAGCCGCAGGTTAGTAACTAAACTAACCTAGTCTGTTGTCCCTAATGATTCTCTGCTGACAGCCAGCATGGTGGCTCATGTCTGTAATCCCAGCATTTTGGGAGGCTGAGGCAGGCAGAAAACCTGAGGTCAGGAGTTTGAGACCACCCTGGTCAACATGGTGAAACCCCATCACTACTAAAAATACAAAAATTAGCCAGGTGTGGTGGCAAGCACCTGTAATCCCAGCTACTCGGGAGGTTGAGGCAGGAGAATCGCTTGAACCTGAGAGGCAGAGGTTGCAATGAGTCAAGACTGTGCCATTGCCCTCCAGCATGGGTGACAGAATGAGTCTCCATCTCAAAAAAAAAAAAAAAAAAAAAGAAGATTTTTCTGCTAACCATAATTGAACTAATGAACATTTAAGGGGTACCGAGTTTCCATATGGAATATATTAAAATTTGCTCCAAAATCAGTTGCTTTCATGGGTTTCACTTACACAGCTCCTAAACAGGAGATTTAGATGACATTTACTCCCCTGGAATGCTATGTATTCTTTTTTTTTTTTTTTTTTTTTTTTTAAATAAATAGAGATGAGGTCTCACTATATTGGCCAAGCTCGTCTCGAACTCCTGAGCTCAAGTGACCCTCCTGCCTTGGCCTCTCAAAGTGCTGGGATTGTAGGTGTGAGCCTACCGCACCCAGCCAGTCACTCAGCTTTTGAGGGTTCATCATCAACTGCACAAAGGGGAAAGGAGGAGCAGTGGAGGGTGGCACACCAGCGGCTACTTTTCCTCCTTCCCAGGCACAATACCTGTACAGGACGCAAAGACCCATCAATAAAGTCAACAGGGATGCTTTAAACATCTTGTGGGGATCACAAAAATTTTACCCAGTTTATTATCCCATGCTGACATCAATTCCTGGCAAAGGGGTGGGGGGCTGCAGTCTTACGAAGCTGGTCTTGTGAAGCTGGGTGTAGGTGTGAGCATATGTGAGAACACAGAACTGTTTGAGCTGAAGCTGCTTTACAACAGTACGCATTCTTTGGGGTTAATGTGCTGAAAATGTCAGCTGAAAAAAAGAAAATAAAAAAAAAAAAGAAAAGAAAATGTCAGCTGAGTGCCTTTCACCAACACCGTGTTGCACCCAGGCTTGGGAAGCACAGCTGCAGCCTGTCGTGCTTGCGGCTCTGGGTCCTTCCTACCTGTTGCTGTGTCCATCAGTGTGGCAGAGACCGCCGACTGGCTGGAACATATGTGCCATTTCTGTGCATAGGATGTGAGTAAGTATATGCCACAGTTAGTCAGATCAGGATATGAGTCGATCATATTATAAAGTGACACAAAGAACTGATCTTTAAAGCATTCTGGAAGCATTAATCCATGTGTCAACACTATTGTAAGGGAGCTACAGTTTCAAAGACACTTAGGATTACTAAGCAAAGGAGAGATGCTGCAAGACATGGGTGAACAGAGTTGGCTAAAGACCTATGAAAACAAATGCATATGGTGGAAGCCAAAATTGAGAGGCAAAAACAAAGATTTACCAGGACCACATATTTCTCCGGCATATTCAGTCAGAAATGGAGAAGTAGAAACACGGCAGCTGAGAAGAGCTGTGGAACAGGGGCCTGCTTTATTTTCCTATCAGAGCCACCTTTCTGGGGCTAAATTAATGGTCTTAAACTGACTCTTTAAAAAATTTTGATTGGCACTGAGGCATAAAGATACACATAAAGCCGGGCGCGGTGGCTCAAGCCTGTAATTCCAGCACTGTGGGAGGCCGAGGCGGGTGGATCACGAGGTCGAGAGATCAAGACCATCCTGGTCAACATGGTGAAACCCCGTCTCTACTAAAAATACAAAAAAAATTAGCTGGGCATGGTGGCTCGTGCCTGTAATCCCAGCTACTCAGGAGGCTGAGGCAGGAGAATTGCCTGAACCCAGGAGGCGGAGGTTGCGGTGAGCCGATATCACGCCATTGCACTCCAGCCTGGGTAACAAGAGCGAAACTCCGCCTCAAAAAAAAAAAAAAAAAAAAAGATACACATAAAAAGATGACCATATACAGTACTATTTGCAAGCATAAGAACTATTAATGGTTATGATGTCCACAAATCAGCAAAATGAACTTTATTATGTCCCTCTACCGGAACGCAAGCACCTATTAAAGGGAATGAAATAATCTGAATATACTGGCATAGAATGATGTCGAAGATGGACTGTTATGAGGAAAAATCAAGTTGCAGAAAATGAGCATGGTAATCCCATTGCTGTTAGAAATGTGTTTGCATATGCGCAGGAAAAAGTCTCCAAGAAGTGAGAGAAAACCATTAATAATTGTTATCTGTCACGATGATTTTTTCTTACATTTTTATTCATTGAATCCTTTGCAACAAACATCTATACTTTTATAATAAAGCCAGAGCCGGGTGTGGTGGCTCACACCTGTAATCTCAGCACTTTGAGAGGCTGAGGCGGGTGGATCACAAGGATCGAAGAGATCGAGACCATCCTGGTCAACATGGTAAAAACCCGTCTCTACTAAAAATACAAAATTAGCTGAGCATGGTGGCGCACGCCTGTAGTCCCAGCTACTAGGGAGGCTGAGGCAGGAGAATTGCTTGAGCCCAGGAGGCGGAGGTTTCTGTGAGCCAAGATCGTGCCATTGCACTCCAGCCTGGGTAACAAGAGCGAAACTCCGTCTCAAAAAAAAAAAAAAAGAAAAGAAAAGAAAAGAAAGACAACAAGATACTCATGAGAGAATAGCACTAACCTGTTTTGTCCTATAATTGTAAGGTTCTTGGAGGCCCAAGAACGGGTGGCCTTAATGGTGCTTCCTTAGCTGGGAAGTCCTTGACTGAAATTGTGAAGGCACAGCAGGTGAGCCCTGGAGGCCTCAGCTCTGCGCAGCCCTGAGCTCTCTGTGGGGCCACGGAGAAGCAGAGGTAGCATTCCCAAAATGCCATGAGAAAGGAGGGCTTATTGGCCTTAGAATCCCTTTCTTTACCCTTTCTTTCTCTGTCACGGGACCCTCGCTGGCCTGTGTAACCTCACTTCTGCTTTGTGAGCTGTGGGGTGTTCACTGCCTGGTCGTGACCTGTGGCCGTGACCCCACACAGGCTGCTGTTCAACCTTGGCATGCCCCGAATTCTCAACACGGTGCTACCAACTTGCTGTTCAAGGGGTTGTGAAGAGTTCTCAGCCAGAAGTGACAGCAGCAATGCATCTGCTCCAACTCCTCCCTCCTAGCAACCTGCCTTTGTCTCAAGGGCCTGGGAGAGGGAATTTCTTGACCTGTCTCTGGAACTGTGATGGCAGGAATCCCATCCTGACCCTTCCGGTCATGCATTTCCTCTCCATAAGTCAACTCTGTCCTCTAGTCTGCTCTGATGTCCCCTTCCTCCAGGAGGGAGCGAGACAGCAGGCCCATCTGTTTTTTCTTTTTTTGAGATGGAGTTTCGCTCTTGTTGCCCAGGCTGGAGTGCAGTGGCACAATCTTGGCTCACTGCAACCTCCGCCTCCCGGGTTCAAGAGATTATCCTGCCTCAGCCTCACGCGTAGCTGGGATTACAGGTGCCCGCCACCACGCTCAGCTAATTTTTGGTACTTTTGGTAGAGACGGGGTTTCACTGTATTGGCCAGGCTGGTCCTGAACTCCTGACCTCAGGTGATCTGCCCGCCTCAGCCTTCCAAAGTGTTGGGATTACAGGCGTGAGCCATTGCGCCCGGTCCTTTTTTTCTTTTTCCTTGAGATGGAGTCTTGTTCTGTCACCCAGGCTGGAGTGTAGTGGTGTGATCTCAGCTCACCACAGCCTTCACCTCCCAGGTTCATATGATTCGCATGCCTCAGCCTCCCAAGCAGCTAGGACTATAGTTAGGACTACAGGTGTGTACCACCATGCCTGACTAATTTTTGTATTTTTAGTAGAGATAGGGTTTCACCTTGTTGGCCAGGCTGGTCTCGAACTCCTGACCTCAGCTGCTCTACCTGCCTCGGCCTCCCAAAGAGCTGGGATTACAGGCATGAGTCACCGCACCCAGCAGGCCCATGGGTTTTGACTACAAAGCACAGGCTTAGAAGCAGCTGTTGCCTCAGCCTTGGCTCGTGAAGGCTGGAGAAACCCCATATCCTCTTCTGCACAAGCAATTTCTATTCTTCACAGATCCCCTCCGAAGGCATCACAGTCTCTCTCCTCATCCCCGAGCTTCCCTTAGGTAATTCCTACTCCTCCTTCAGATCACAGCTCCAATGCTGCTTCCTCTGGGAGCCTCTCTCAACTCCCCAAGGCTAAGCCAGGTCCCCTGACATCCCAGTATCTCCCAGTGTTTATCCCAGTCCTCATCTTCCGTTTACTCATGTGTAGCTTGACAAATGTCTTTCTCACAGAATATAAGCTCCTGGAGGGGCAGAATCTGATGCCATGACCTCCTGGTTGACTCGTGGGGCCCCTTCAGCTGCCCAACAGCTTTCTTGGAGGACAGAGAGAAGAAGATAGGAACGGAAATCCTCTGCTCACAGCAGGGAGGGCCTCAGCCAGCATGTGGTGGGGAGGGGCGGGGACAGGCACTGACCTCGGCTGATGCGCTGCTTTTCCCCAGAAAGGATGCCAGGGCTGTCGATGATGCTGATGCTCTTCAGGACCTGATTGGGCAGCTGGGAGCACATGAATCTGGAAGAGACAGATCAAAGGAGGATTCAGACACTGGGCATCGCAGAGTGCTACCATGGGGGTCCTTGGCCTCTCTGGGCTTACTGACCTCTGTAAAGGGGGGCCCTGAAGGAGAGTGACAGAAACTGAAGATGCCCAATAAAGCCATCTGTGAAGCAGGTGCTTGGAGGAGATTGACAGGATCCACTCATGCCACAGAGAACAGATGCCGGTCCATGGGACACGTATGGGAGGTGCACCGGCACCTGCTGCCACCTGCCACCTGATGCCTTTCTGTTCATTTTGATTTTAGGCAACAGTTATTGAACATGTAGGTATCTTACAAACATCCTCTCATTTGATCCTCATATTGACTTCATGAGGTGAAGGAATTATCCTTAACCTAAGAGAGGTTAAATAATGCTTAGGGTCACTCAGAGTAGGGCCTCAAACCCAGGTCAGCCTGGCTCCAAAGCCATGGGCCTCACCTCTTCCCGTTCCATGCTGGTCTCTGCCCAAGCATCCTGGGCTTCTCCCCCTGGGAATCCCATGCCTTCTTCAGGGTGCACTGCCCCACTGGGCTGGAGAGCCCCAAGCTGCCTGCACCTTCCCTAGCTGGAGGGACTGGGGCCTGTTTCCCCATCTGATGCCCCCAGGACTTAGCATCCAGCTCAGTGTCCCCTATGGCTTTATGGCCAGGAAGGGGTAGGCACCGGTGGCACCCCACACCCTCCAGGTGCTTAGGAGTCCTAGGGGAGCTGGAGAGTGGGTGAGGGGACCAGGCTAGGGGAAGCCCTGGCTGTGAACATCTTTAGGCCCCTCTCATTCTTCACTTGCCTGACACCATCTCCTCCTCCTGATCCTGGTCCCTCCTCCCTGTAGTCACTGCCCTCGCACCCACCCGACGGAAGCAGGGTGGGGAGGAAAAGTCTAGTCTGTGGGTCAGCAGACCTGGGTTCAAGTTTCACCCAGCGTTTCCTGATAATCTGCTCTGGGACTCTGGATAAGGGCCTCCCTGTTCTGGGTCTCAGGTTCCTCACATGAAAACGGAAGCTTCCCGGCAGGGTCTGGTGATGCTCTTTTAGCTTTGAGGCTGAGTAACACCATGAGTGGCAATAGGAAGTGCTTTGTTGCTTCCACCCCGGGCACCAGGGCCTGGGCTAGACCTTTGTGAAACACTGTGTATGTTTAAGCAGCAAGTGTAGAATGCCTCTCCTTTTCACGTCCTATGGATGGCTGACATCTGCATCTGTGTGGGCAGAAGCTAAGAGCTCAATTCTTCCATGCGGTGGATGTGGTAGGGGTTACTCAGAAAGTAAAAATGCTGGGAATGCAGGACAGGGAGGCCTGGCCAGCCTCCACAGAGCACATGTGGACAGCGCAGCCCTGGGTACAAGCGGCTGCCACTGACATTTCAAAATAACTTTCTCTGAAGGGGCTCGGGACATGATTTTCACACAGTCTTTCCTACATTTTCAAATTGGCCCAGGATGATGTAGGAAAAGATATTAGGATCCTTTTGCAGGTGGAAAAGTTGAAACACAAAACAGTTGACATTCTGAGGCTGTGCTGCTAATGCATGGCTGGCTGGAGACTGGAACCTACTATTTCTGATGTCAGGGGGGTGGAACTCAACCCACAAAGTTAACCTCATCACATTAAAAGGAAAGGGTCAAGTTAGTGGAAGAGAAGCCCCCTATTTCTGCTTGTCTCCAGACACTTGTGCGCAGTCCCCTGCTGTACCCCAACCTTTCAATAACCCCACCACCCAACACAGGGAGAGAATAAAGCAGTGGGGCTCACCAACCATTCTTTGTAAGTTCACAGGAAAAAACCCACCAGACCATTATTCAATTCTCTAGAATTGGGGTAGGAACAGGGCTCTGGGTGCATCTGTGGTGAACCTCGTTTCTTGTCAGGAATGACTGTCTCTCAACGACATCCCATCCTTTCTTTCCATCAGATGGCCCGAGACATCTGGCACAGTTGAACACATCACACCTGCGTGAAACAATTTTCTGCAAACTGTTCCTGTGGAATGGCTGATCTTTTCCCCAAACCACAAGCTCACACTCAGTATCCATTTTTCCAAAACACCAAACCCCTAGATGCTGGGTGAGGCTAACAGAGGGGTTCACACTGGTCACTTCGTGTGTAAAGCGACAGCCTTTCCACAGTTCCCAGTCCTCCTGACATGACAGTGGCAGCCAGCACAGGAGCCACAAAGCAAGCCACCGTGAGATGTGCTGACATCACCACACAGCACACGAGGGTGCAAAGCAAGGAGGAGGGGGAGGGAGAGCTTTGGCTGGGGGCACCCCAAGAATGGGCAGCTGGGGTTTTATGTGCACCGCTGGACTCTTCTTCCTGAAAGACAGTGTCCAGGGTTGAGAGGCAGGCAAGAGAACAGGAAGGAGCATTGAGATGCTGTGTGCCACACTCATGCTGCAAGGTGGGAACTCCATACCAGCGTGTTCCTAAGAAGTTACGCTGGTATCAGAAAAAATCCTAATGCTGTTCTAGCAATCGTGCCTCACGCTTCTACTCTGAGAAAGGGAGGCGCACGGCAAACTTACTTGTTTACATAAAAGCAGTGCCATGGTAGTCGTAGCCCAGTAATGAAGAACTGGGGCTATGCAGTCAGCACTGCCAAGTTCATGTCCCGGCCCCATCACTTCGAAACCATCGGACTTGGCAAGTTACGTCATGTGACTCCTCTGTACCCAGTGTGCTCCTTTATAAGCAGAGGCTCACAGCCCTACCTGTAAGGTTATGGTAAGCCTGCAGTTAATGTGCCCAGAAAGTGCTCCGAACGCTGCCTGACACCCAGTAAGAGGGCCCTGGCCAGCCTGGCTTACTGAAATGTTTCCAAGCATAGATTTGCTGTCTCTAGATGGATTTTCTATTCCTTCCTGGAGAGATTAACAAAAGGAGGATCTGTGCCTTGCCTTCTACATTTCACGTAAAATATGCAGACACGTGCTAGTTCAACCCAGGAGCCTCACACGGCTTTCGTGAGTGGCCCTCATCTGAGGATGATCATGCTCTCCATGTCTAAGGAAGGGCCAGGGGTAGTGGAGAGGGGGGATAAAGTAATGATTCAGGCTATGAGGTCTCAGGCAAGCTGCTAGGTGTCCTGCCACACAGTAAAAGGAGACAGTAAAGCTACGTGTGATGACTCCCGCCTGTAATCCCAGCACTTTGGAGGCTGAAGGGGGAGGATCTCTTGAACCCAGAAGTTCAAGACCAGCTTGGGCAACATAGTGAGACTTTGTCTCTACAAAAAATAAAATTAGCCGGGCATAGTGGCATGTGCCTATAGTCCCAGCTACTCAGGAGGCTGAGGTGGGAGGATGGCTTGAGCCCAGGAGGTCGGAGCTGCAGTGAGCTGTGATGGTCCAGTTCATTACAGTCTGTGCAACACAGTGAGCTCCTGTCTCAGATAAATAAATACATACACACACACACACACACACACACACACACACACACACACACATATCTACAGGAGGAGGGGGCAAGGAGATTACTTAAAATTTTCCCCAAACACTAAAACTCCAATTAAAAGATCAGCATTTTTAAAAACTACACTTTTAGAAAAACCAGACAGCACCTTAATACTGATTTTGATTTCTCAATGAAACAGTAATATCTGTAGCAGTTATAATAATAACATAGCATGAACATTTCCTGATCTCTTTCTGGGTGTCAGGCACAGTTCAAAGCACTTCCCATGCACGTGAACTCCAGCCTTACTGCAGCCTTACAGGTAGGGCTGAAGCCTCTGCTTCTAGAGGAGGAGACTGGGCACAGAGGAGATACATGCCATAACTTGCTGAGAAGTGCTGGAGCTGGGCCATGAACTTGGCAGTGCTGACTACAGAGCCCAGATTCTTCACTCCCGGCTACTACTGCCACGGCACACACTGGAACCTCTGCTGCGTAGTGTATCATGCACAGGGCGACGTCCTAAAACAAAGAGGTGACGTGCCACAACCCTGGAACTCACCCCCAAAGGGGCTTCCTTATATGGCTTGCTCTCTACCTAGCGGTATGGAATGTGAGCGGGGAGAACAGAAGGCAGGATATTTGGGCTCCAGACGTCTCCCTTACTCATTTACTCTGAGACCTTGACCTTGCACAGGTCTCTAAACCTCTCTGAGCAATTCTACCAGCACTGTGGACCTCCAGGTTTGCCATTAGGTTCAAATAAACCTAAGGTTACAATGCAGAGATTATAGAATTGTTTCAAAGTACTTTGACCCCAGCCCACTTTATTGATAAGGGTAAACCATAGAGATGATACAACCTCCTAAATTTGTACAGTAAATAGGACACAACCCACAAAAAGACTTTGACAACTAAACTGTAATCATTCTTATTACATGGTTCCACCACAAACGGCTGATTTTATCTTCCAGAGCCTAGGAGGAATCAGGAACAAAATTTCACATCCAGATTATAGCAAAGTCCCTGGGTGCCCTATTCGATTGAAACTAATTACCACTTTTAAAGGTTAGAGATGGTTTAAGTCTGGCAATTTTATATGGTTCAACCTAAATATGTGCTTTTATAAATCCCTCCTGACTGCCACAGGGGAAAGCCCAGTGCAGTGGCTCAGCCAGGAAGGTCTGCCCGAGCCCAGGGAGAAAGGCATTTCTGGAACATCAGGACCAGAAATGTACAGGCAGCTGCCAGTCAAGAACAATGGTTTAATGACCAGGGAACCACCACAAATCTTTTTTTATGTTATTATTTTTTTAGAGATGAGGTCTCTTGCTGTGTTGCCCAGGTTGATCTCTCTCTGGGGCTCAGGCAGTCAGCCCACCTCGGCCTCGCAAAGTGCTGAGATTACAGGCGTGAGCCAGCCAGCAAATCTTGAGGCTAAAGACTAATGGGGAAAGCTTCAGCAAGTTTATTATAGAAAAGTGAACCATAGCACACCTGCACAAGACAACCCAGTTATTCCCTCAGATTAAAAAAAAAATTATTTTGTTGGTGAATCAAGAGTGATTCTTGGC